ACTCTCTTTGCTGCTAACTTTCAGTGGCAGTAAAACAGAGCTTGCAGAATTTGCTTGAGCTTCCATTTCTGTTTGGTATCTAACTTTTATCTGACAAAACACTTCTGGACACGGATATTTCTCTTTCCCAGAAATATTGATCCTATGGGAAATGCTGTAGCAGACATTCACATGGTAAACAGGACAGATTTTTTTCACATTCTTTCAAGTGGAACATGTACTAAGAGATGATCTGTGTCATCTTTTCAGTCATGTCAGTCAATATAATCCATAACATGGGAAAACTGGAGCAGGACATTATTCCTTTTGGAGATGTGGTAAGGCTTTGTGTCAATGACTTGCCACTAACTCTTTTACTGTGTTTTAGTAGCAACTCTAAATTTTAAGCAAGAGAGTCCCATAACTGAGAATGCTGTAATTTAATGTTTGTGCTGCTGCAGTCAAGGTTAATGCAGTTGACACAGCCTGGAATTTTCTTTTCTATATACTTACCGGGGTAGGCTGATGGCTGTAATGCATTTTCTCTCCTTCCATAAGTGATATTGCTGCCATTTTTGTCCTGAATTGAGGGGAATACTGGTAACCTCAGCAGAAAGAGAGGAACTCTCTGACTGGAACAGACTGAATTCTCTTCCTTTCTTGAGAGCTTGTCTCATCAAGTTATCCTGGAGATAAAATGGTTGGGAACGTGTTTTCACTAGTGTTACTTTCACCTTGGGAAAGAAAAAAAAAAGAGCATCTCACATTCTGTAATAAGATTAGAAACCATTAGAATCCAAATAAGAACTGTGTAATTCTCCACAGTACCCTACAGGGTACAAATCTTTCACATGCTTTTTCCTGTAGATGGACATAAAAGCAAATATTTTTAAAATGTGTGGTTTTCCCACAACCTGTGTGGTTCTCCAGCACTATACCCACATTGCAGTGACTGTCAGTTTCAAATACAAGTAATCTAGGAGAAAAATGTCGCATATTTTCTACATGCCAAGAAATGGTGAGAGGGAAGTGCTTGTGAAAACTCCATTAAAGAATATTTGGAAAAAACCACTTTTTTTGCTCTGAGGATAGTAAAATTTAACATGATAATAAACTGCCTGGATACTTCTTCTCCAGGTTATATAGACTCCAAGTAGCTATGATGGTTGTTGGAAATAACATAATCTCAACACTCACGGTAGCAATAGGATGAGAACGTGTAGAAACAGACTTTTCACCCACAGACACTGCACTAATAGGATTGGAGGGTGGTCTGTGAGTCCTCTCTATTTGACAAGTAAGAGATAAGTACCACTGCTAAGGTAATCTCTGCCAATCGCCAAAACAGCAAGGAGTAGACACAACCAAACCAACTATACCTCTGTGCAGAAAAGACTTTGAGACGGGAGACCATGGTCATCATCTCTGCTCGCAATGCTATTAACTGGTGGAATCCACAGGAGCAGAGCTGATGTGAAATCCTGCCCAAAGTGCCTGAGCCTGCACTGTGTTCCCAAACAGGTATTCCTCTGATCACAGGGGTGATGAAGCCCAGGTTCCTGTTGGTTTGCATTATTGTACTTAGATTTAAAAAAATTCAGTTAGATTTTCTGCTATCTTTATGTGTGATTTTGAAATTCTCTGCTGTTACAATCCATCTCTTGCCATGCTTTGGCTGTGAGAAACAGACTCACATTCTGTAGAAACTGCTCAACAGAATGAAAAGTTCTGGGTGGACCCCAGTCCTCTCCCTAAAGAGCCATCTCTTTTATCAAACATGGAACTTTGTTATTTTTGAGACTGTTATCTGAAGTTTGGATTAAATCAGCCAATATATTCAAGAGGTTTATGGGAAGAGAATGAATGTGCCAGGGAGTGAGAAGTCTGGTCTGACGTTGCCGAAAAGCCACCTAAGATGTCAGACTCTGCTTTATGGTTTAAACTTTGACTTTAGAATTATGGTAAAATAATAAGAACTATTGAAGCCCTGCATACTGTATGAATGCCAGTAAATTTTTATTTTTGGCATTCCTACACAAACTAAACAGTGCAACTTGCCAGCAGTATCTCAGAACAAGTCCATGCATCTTGTTTTTTTCTGTTTAAGATGCTTTGTGTAGCGATACTTTACCTGTGTCTGCAGTGGAGTCAGTGCTTTCTAACAGACAAGTCTGTGTTTCAAGACTGAGTGCAGCAACTGCTTTGGATGACATGCAGGTTATGTTTCTGGAACAAAAGTGTGATTAGGAAACTGGGATGGAGACAAAGAGCTACATTAAAAACTGTCTTAGATTTTGACTTGTTAAGGAATCCTGGTTTTGTTCAAGGATCTAATTTTAGAAACTCTTAATTCTAATCCTGCAGACTGCTGGTGTTCTCACGAGCCTTCCCTGTGGTAGTGATGAGACTGGATGCTGTGACTGTTGTATAGCTGGACTGCAGTGCTGTTCTCAGATCCTGTAAACACTTTCTGATGGATGAGCTGTATTTAAGGGGTCCATTTTTTCCTTTGTATAAAGCCTGCCCAGCACAACAAACAGATTTGAATTATCCCAGTTCTGTGCTGAACCTCCTTCACTCATCTTCTTGCTGTTTCCCCTCTGCAGCCTAGAACCTTCAGCTCTGTCCTGGTACGTGTGAAAAAATTTGGTCTGGATTCTGGCTGTGTTCATGGATGGTTTTCTCAGAAAGGTCCTGCTGAATCATTTCATAAAGACCAGTCTTAAAGTGAGGTTGGGACAGGTGTAAATGCCTAAATCATTGTCAGTTCCTGAAGTGCGATGCCCATTTAGACTCCAAAGGTAGCGGTGTAATTAGTGATGGTTGACCTGCTCTAATAATGCTAATGATGATTGCCCCCTCTCACCAGTTTGGAGCTTGCATTTGGTACAAGTACCTGCGCAGGCCCACTACGCAATGCAGATTACACATCTGACTCAGTACAGCATCCAGCCTGCTTCTGTGCTGGGGATAGCTGAGCAAGAGTCTACCTTCATTCTACCTCTTCCAAACCATTGTCTGCCTCTGCTTAGTGCAATGGGCCTATGCAGCCTCTGAACTGCTCCATAAATCTGAGTGCAAGGTCACTCCAGCTATGTTAGTCTGGTTCAGGCTCCTCACCAAGGCTTACAGAGCAAATACATCCAACCCTTCAAATGCACCCCCTGCCCTCTGCTTGATTGTGCCTTTTTACGTAATAACAACATGAAACTAAAGTAAATGGAACTTATGACTGTTAATGTGACAAAATGCATAACAACTGTAAGACATTTGCATTTCAGGGCATTTGAGGGGAAAGATAATATGCATAAAACTTGTAGCAATAGATCTGATTTTTTGGCAGCCTTTTCTGCTATTCACTGCAAAAAAAAGTCCCACTGTAGCACCAACAGTAATGGAAGGAATGCTGGCCCTTTTTTTCCCCTTACACAAACATAGTTTGAGAAGCAGGAACAATAGCTCAGAGGTAAGAGAAGCTTTGCAGTTTGGTACCTACATGTTTCACTATTAACAAAGCTGTATTGATTTAGCTACATTTGTGGTCACCGTACACAGAAATGCTGGCTGGGAATGATCACTGCTGGGTGCAGATGGTAGGTTTCATGTTTATTCTGAACTATAACTGGTCCAACTGCTATATGACTCCTGAGCATAAAGCAGAGATCCTTTGGAAGGAATAGCGTGAGCTGCTGTATGCCAATCTGCAGGATGTAGGCCAGTTAAAGGACAGCCTTTTCAGTCAGGCAGATATGATGACCAGTGCTGTGCTCACTGTGTAGTAAAGTCATCTAGTTTGTCAGGAATCAGGCGTGCAGTCTGATGTTTCCCAGACTTATAGGAAATGGATTTCATTAGGTATGCTTGTAGGATTAATACATCATCAGTGTGGGTTTGTTTATTTATTTATTTGGTTGCAGGATTTTTTTTCTCTTGATTTTGTTTGCTTTGTGGTTTTGTTTGGTTTTTTTTAATTATTCCTTTCTGTCTGCACTGGAAACAAATTATGGGATTTTCAAGTTAACGCATATGTAATAGTGTCCTAAGAAAATGGAGGCCACGGTCTTGGTCCTAAAGGCAGTCAGATGTGTGCCTATTTCTGTCTGTCAGGGAAAGACTTTCTTCCACTTAATTTCTCATGCACTCTCACTATGTCATTAGCTTGTCTACATTTGGATTCAACAGCTTGATACAGGTTCAGAAGTCTGGTCTGACACTCATGGAGGCTCAGTTTCTTTGTGGCTTTGCTAGATATCTGCTCTTATGACTTTCTATCAGTTGTTTTCTTTCACCTCTTCCACAGTCCATTTACTGTGTGGTTTTGTCCCCTCTTTGATTTTAAGTGTATAGACTTGCATATAGCATGTTTCCCATGTGACAGATCCTTCTTGTAAACAGCGAGCTCATGTCACCCGAAATTCTCCTGGAGAAGCCCTTGCCTAGACTTAATTTTGCTTCTTGGTCTCTCACTAGATACTCGTGTGACTGTGTGAGGATATGGGAATTCAGTTTTCCTGGATTAGACCTTTTGCTCTACCCCATGCTGCATCTACCCAATGCCTCAGCTCAGTCCAAGGCTAAAAATCTTCAGTCACTGACTGCTGTCAGCAAAACAAAGAAAACTTCTCTCCTTAAAGGTTAAAATAGTTTTGATAGAAGAGTCTTGGTGCTCTGTCAGTGAAAGAAATCTCCTCAGCACTATGCATGTGGAGGTTAGCCAGTGTGGAGGAAAAACCCAAGCATTATCAGAGGACTAGATGTAAGGTCTTGGTCCTTTGAATCTTGGTGTTTATAATACCGGAGTCACACAATCTCTTTAGAATCACATGAAGCCTCAACCTGCATGGAGGTGGCCAAGGTCCTCTACACTCCTATGTTGACAGGAATGTTGGTGCAAGCCTTGGAAGGGAAATTGTACTGGTGAAAGAAGCAGTAGTAGTGAGCACAAGTAACCGGGAAGGTGAAGAGGCTATCCTAAAAGTCTGGCTGATTACATTGCACGTCTCAGCACCCATCCTTCATGACGATGCCGGCTGGGGCCATGAGGGGTGGGCCACTGCTGCGAACCAGGATGGGGAGGGAATGGTTCGTGACTTGAGGTTAACACTTGTACAGGAGCAAAGGGTACTTGTGGTAAATTTGGGGTTCCTGGAAGTGGGTAGTGGGGTGGCAGGTCAGTGCCTCGCAAGGCCAGTCCCAAATCAAGTCCCAGGCTTAAGCATGACCGAGGGAAGGTGAGGCTCAGGCCGAGGGGCTTATTCCAGAGCCAGGTTGGGGCCTTGGGGACACTGGGGCATCCAGTTGGTGTCTGTGGTGATGGACACGGCCTGTGGTGAGCGTGGCCCCAAGTCTCTGCCAGGCACTGGTGGCAATGGGAGAATCAGGTGAGCACCTCAGCACTGAGGCACTGGTTCCTGTCAGGCAGGTGTGGCTGAAGGGCCAGATGGGATATTTGGCATATGAAGGGGAAGCTACAAGGCATGCAACAGGCAAGGCCTTCGTGCCAGCCTGGGGGCGATGCGTGGAATTTCCATGCAGCAGGAAAAGCCAAGCATAGACTGCAGGATCCATGCTAGTGAGTAGGGATTGACACGACACATGTTTCAGGGCTACTCCTGCTCGGTGGCCTTGTCCAAAACCTGACGCTGACCCTGGCATATGTGTGTGTGTGTATGTGTGTGTTTTGCTATGTGCATCCCAAGTTTCTCTGACTCTTGGGAAGCCATGCTCAGCTGTGCTGAGCTGCTTTGTCACGCTTCAAAACTCTCTTCCACCCTCATGTTCTGTAGGCAAAAATATCCCTCTGGCTCCTTCAGGAGGTATATCAAGAGGAGAGATGAAAATATAATTAACAAATCTCACTCCACAAGTACCAATTATGTGGGGTTTTTTCTCAGATGGTCTAAATGATAAATATAGCTAGCTAAATTCAGAGTTACAATTTTCAACCTGCGTTTAGCACTGAAGTGGGCTGGTTCTATTTTCAGGATGAAGAAGAATTTGTGTGCCTGAAATCCCATCCAAGTTCTTCTAACTATATCAGTCAGTCTAATAAAAGAGATTACCTCTTCCTACGGACCTTGCCTCACATTCTTCAGGCACAGTGACTACGATAACGATGCTTCCTCATCTTTCCTGTTGCTTCTCTGCCACCTGCAGTGCGCAGCTTGAATGTACCAAGACAGAAGAGTTGGGGAAGCACATGAAGGTATTTCCTGACTTAAGTGTTTCATTTGCAAGCTCAAAGACCTTCCTGGAACAATAGAAAAACTTAAGTTGGAAGGGAGCTTACCCAGTCCAGCCCTATTCCATGCTGGGCTAAGAAATTTTGATCGGATGCTCAGAACCATATCCAGCAAAGTTGCTAGTACTTCCAAGCATGGAAATTTCACAATCTTTTTGGGCATGTGACTTCAGTGCCGAACCATTCTTGCTGTGAAGACTTTTTCCTTACATCCAACCTATTTTTCCCATGTTGCAATATGTGGCTGTGGCCCCTTGCCCTTTCACCATGCACTTCTGAGAGAGAGACTTTCTTTACCACTCATTGCAATGGGAGACTGCAGTTTATTTCCTGCCTCTCATTAGTGGTCTAATCTCTGGGCTATACAAAAAAGTTCCTCCCGGAGTGGCCTGTGCTTCAGCCTCTCAGCAGTCTCAGTGTTTCTTTGCTGGACCCTCTAGTTTGTCATCATCTTGCTTGCTCTACAGGGCCCAAAACTGGACATCATGTTCCAGGCATGGCCCAGCTAGTGCAAAGCAGGGGGAATAAGAGCTTTCCTTTGTTTGCTGACATGAACTTGCTTGTGTAGCCTAGTATGTGATTAACTGTCTCCATTACAAGGCACATTGCTGTCTCTTGTGCAATTTGCCCAAAAGGATCTCTTGAGTACTCTTCTGCAAAGCTGTTACCTACTCAGTTCATACCTAGCATATATAACTCTGTGGGGTTAGACCACCCCAGCTGTAGATGTTACACTTCTCCTTTTTGACCTTCAAGAGGTTTCTGTTGGCCCATTCCTCCAGCCTGTCAAGGTCTCCCAAAATGTTTTTTCTATCTCCCCACTTTTTGTTAAGCGTTTAGTTTCCTGACCTCTTGTGCTTGTATTTGTTCTATGCAGACATGTTCAAAGACCTAGTTCCTCCTCAGAGCAGTTTTAATTATAGACTATAGAAGCATGGTGGGATGTGTTTGTAGAAACAGACTACTCTTACTTGTACTGGAGATAGTCTTGGAAGAGGAAGAGCCTATGCTGCCCAGCATGTTGCTCAGTGCCTTTGAAAACTTTCACTTTTTTAATGGCCTCCGACTTACCATCAGAAATGATAGTGACAGGATGCAGATGTATGCCCCAGCAGGAAATATGGGCCCTGAGGTATTCATCTTTCTTATCTGCTCATTGACAGAGTCACTAAGGAGACAAAATAGAGAATTCCTGCTCTTGAACTGATTAAGGAAACTGTTTTAATCAATTTGCTTTCTTTTGCTTCATGCCTTACCTTGTACTTTATCTCACCTGCTATCCACTTTGACCTTAAATCTTCACTTAAATGAGGCCTGAATTAAAGGCTGCTTTTGTGTAGAAGTTTTCAGACTACCATGTTCCACCCAGAGAGAAAATGAAAGGACAGCATCTGAGTATGAACTTACCCCAACCCCACTCTAGACTTTCCTTCAGGACCATCCCAGGCTGTATTCTGAATGGGAAAATGTAATTAGTGGCATTTTCTTCTGTATGCCTAGCCACCCTACTTCTAGAAAAACTAACAGTAATCTCCATAAGAGGGTTTTGTGTCAGTTTAAGGACAGAAAAGAGGAGCAAATATGATCAGCTAGGCAGATCTTTCTCAGTAGCAGTGACTCCAGCTTGTCCTCTATTCAAGATGCTGCAATATGCATGTTTCTGTGAAAAAGAATCACGGCGTTATTATCATCGTCATTTCCATCTCTCCAGCGCATGTCAATCATAGTAACAATTAAACAGTTCTGGAATTAAAAGTGACATTTTAAAAGGAGACAGGTAAAAGTGGAGTGTCAAGGAGGGAAAATTAAATGGTTTGTTTCCCCCTCTCCTTTGTATCACATTGTTGATGAAAGAATAATATAGTTCTGCCATATTAGATAAGAATTTATAAAATGTACTGTGCTATATAAAACCTACCCATATCTGCACACTTTCTCCTACTTCTCCGCAGTGATCCTTCTTCCAGCAAGTCAATCCCACTTAAATTTATTGCTCTTTGGTATGTATATGAAGGCTCTGACTGCAACCTATTAAAAACATGCTTCAAATACCATTTAATATCATGAGGATTCTGTGGGTTATCATAATGTCTAGGATAATGGGTCAGGATTTGACCTTCTGACTGTCTTTCAGTTTCCCAGTTGGTTTTCCTGCATAGCAAGAGCAGTTAGAGTCTGCTCTTGGCCACCTCAGGCTGCTCATTTGGAAACTGGGAAAACTGGGAAAAGCAAGACATAGTCTGTAACACTGGAGATGTTTTTTTTTTAATATTTGAACTCCTAAAATTTTTCCAGCCATGCTACAAGCATGTTTTCTGCTATATTTTCCTCTTTTAATCTATTCTTCAGGCTAAATTAAATTCTTACAGTCACATACATTTTCTTCTCGTTTATAGTTTCAACTCACTCTCTTCTGGAATCCTCCAGTTGTCTTAAACATTTCCTGAACATCAGTGCCTGAAACAAGGCATAAAATTTGACTGAAGCCACTTCAGTGTTGGGAGCATGGACAGGAGTATTCCATTTTACTATATGTGAAACACTGTTCTGTATATCCTAAAATGGCATTTGTCTTGCTCACCATACTAGCACTGTTGATTTGTTCTGACCATGTCATTCACCATATTCCCTAGATATTTTCTAAATAAGTTTCTACTGAGCCAGCTGGTGCAGGCTACTGGGAAGCTGCTTGTTTGTGCAGATATTGAAATTCATCCAGCTGTTCTCAGAATTTTCCAATTTATCAAGAACATTTTCAGTTCCAATCCTGTCTCTAAGAATATCTGTATCCTCTCTCCATTTCATGTCATCTTCAAATTTAACAAGCATACTGTGTATTCCATCATTCATAGTGTAAACAAAAATGCTGGGAAAATTAGATACAAATTCAGGATAAATCCCCATATAAAACTGCTTTGTACTTCTTCCATTTAGACAGGGAATCTTTATAACCACTCTTCGAATGTGGTTTTACAGAGTTCTTTATTGTTTTTATTTTGCACCCATGCTAGCCTATCTCTACCTAGATAATTTCTTTTTGTTTTTCTTTCTCATAGGACTACTACACAAGAAATGCCAAAAGCCCGAGTAAAGTCAAAATATGCAACAGCTATTGCTTCTCTTCTGCACTAATGCTCTTAAACCATCTGTTATTCACCCAGATTTTTTTTTTTGAAAGTTGAAGGTGAAATTGGTGAGATTTTCTACTCACCTTTCTCCCTTCCTTACTTCTTTTACACACAGACTCTCTACTTATGCTGTTCACATCATTGGTGGCTCATCAGTCTCCAGCCATCCTTAAAAGTAACTTCTAACTTGTCTGAGACTGTTTCCGCCAGTTTTTCACATATTCTATATGGCTGTTCATCAGGTTTAGCCAAATTAGCACACATTACTTTGAGTGCTGCCTAATCTACTCATTCAGGCTCTTGGTTTTTTTAACATTTCTTTACTCTTCTCTTGCTGATGTTACCTATATCAGCCACCTACTAACCTTTCCAGTGATTAGTGAGGAAAAAGGAATTATTTGACATTCTGTAGAAAGGGACCAACCTTAGGCTCAGTGTAAATGAATGGGCAGAAGAGGCTGCACTCACAAGCAGAAGAATTCATGGGGAGACCTAGGGGGGAATAAGTCAGAAACTGTGTTGTCAAAGAGTTCAGGCAGAGGCTGAGCTTTGCGGGAACCCACAGGTGCCTCCAGGTCTGTCTGATTATTTGTATACTGCTGTGCTTAAGAAACACAGAACCCTTAAGGCTGGAAAAGACATTTAAGATCATCAAGTCAAACCATTAACCTAACACTACTGTGTTCACCACTAAAACCATATGCCCAAGTGCTGCATGCACACACTTGAATGCTTTCAGGGATGGTGATTTCACCACTTCTCCAGGCAGCCTATTCCAATACCTGACCACCCTTTCAGTGAAGAAATTTTTCCTAATATCCAACCTAACCCCACCCTGGCACAAGGGCCTTTTTCTCTTGTCCTTTCACTTGTTACCTAGGAGAAGAGCCCAGTCCCCTTGTTGTTGCAACCTCCTTTCAGGTAGTTGTAGAAAGCAATAAGGTCTCCCCTGAACCTCCTTTTCTGGGCTAAGCAACCCCAGCCCCCTCAGCCACTGCTCATAAGACTTGTGCTCCAGACCTTCACCACCTCCGTTGCCCTTCTCTGGACATGCTCCAGCACCTCAATATCTTTCATGTAGTGAAGGGCCGAAAACTCAACACAGGACTTGAGGTGCAGCCTCACCAATACCAAGTACAGGGGGATCACCGCCCTGGTCCTGTTGGCCATGCTATTCTTGGTACAGGTCAGGAGGCTATTTGCCTTCCTGGTTGCCTATGCACTTGCTGGCTCATGTTCAGTCAGCTATCAACCAGAGAAGGTAGAAGAAGGTAGCATATTTTTGTAGGTCGTATTTGTGTAAAATACTCTGTTCTAAAAGTGGAATAGTTTTGTTCTGTGTTGAAAGATTTTTTTAATCTAAACTATTCCCCTTATAAAGTATATTTTGTCTTTCCTTTTTCTTTTAAAGTGTGTGCTACAACAATCCATTTCACCATAAAAAGAAACTGTCAAGCAAGGAGCCTGGTTCATCTCTCAGATAACACGGAAACAGTCAACAGAACAAATGTTAAACTTTACACCTCTGGACACTTAAATCATAGCGAGCTTTATAAGCCTTCAAAGAAAATAAAACAGGGATGATGGTACTCTGCCAGGGAACAAACTAGTTTCATAATGGAAAGAAATCGATTCCCAGCTGAAAATGAGAGAGCAAGGTAGATGAAAAGATTTTCAGGTAACTTTTGTTCCAGCTTCCAACTAAGGCTGAATCTTCTTGCCCTAACAGCAGACATCCACAGTCACCTGTGACTGGTGTTAGTGCCTCAGCAGATTTTTCTATTCCACTGGAATTGCTAAAGTTGAAAGCACTTAAAAAGAAAGTAGAGGATGGAACTGACAGACTCCATGAGAGTCATCAAAATGAGTCAAGATGAGTTAGATGTGTCAGAGACTATGATGCTGAAAAAACAAACTGAACAGCTGACAGTGTGTTGTAGAGCTTGTCAAGGAGGAATACCAGTTCATACCTTCATACTTGGCTGGTGTAGCTAAAATGGAACAGTTTGACAAGTTCTTAGATTTCCAGAAGGAATTCATAGCAAACCGTGAACTGTTACAGAATGATTTAACAGGGAGCAAAGTATCTGGTATCTGAGCAGCATGAAAGTAAGCTGGCTAAGGTAAGAAAAAAGGTCTTCAAGTGGATGGAAGGGTAAATTTTGCATTATCTTTCTGGTTAGATTGGTTGTGTATTCCAGGAAAATGGAATGGGTTTAGGCAAAATCACTTCTCAAAGACAGAGTCCCTGATGTTTTCTTAGTTGAGCACACGTAAGACACATCTTCTGTGTGTTCCAAAACACTGAGCCCAATGCTATTATGCCACTGTTTACCCTTCCCTCCATTGTCATGTGGAAATGTTGTGTTAAATATACAGTAAAACAAGATCTTGCAAGCTAGTGATTTGTACAGGAAAAATCTCTGTGGGAACTGTATATTCAGCACATTGTCCAGTGACATGTTTGAGATAATTTGAGAAAGAAGTTGCTCTCTCTATGTGTTCTGTAGACTATCTCTTTACACACAGACAGTTGCTGCTAACTCTCCCCTTGCAATGAGTGGGATGGGGCGTGAATTTGATCACTGATGCACATACACATACACTTCGTAGAAGCTACTTGTGTTGCTTGAGTTGCTGCCCCAGAGGAAGCTTAACAATCTCAGCAGCACTCATAGCCAAATGCAGGAGTGAGAGTAAGCTACTGGATTCATAGAAACTAGGGATGGAACTTAATGAAAGCGTTTGAGGGTTGGTAAACTAAGAAATGACTAGGCTAGTGTGGGCTGGAAAAGAACTGATATTTCATGTACATGATAGAAATTTTTAAAAGAACTTGGCACTTTGTCCCTCACTGTGGTACTTATGGCCAGCTTTTCATCCTTTGTAAGATGCCAACTCATTTATCAAGGGTATTTTTCAGAGAATTTAGCAGTGGTGTTTGCTGGACTGTGGTTACTAACAGAGAAAACAGAGGTCAGGCTTGATTGAAACAGCAGTCCCAATAGGAGTCCTATATATACCAGAAACTGGAAAAGAAATGATCAAGCAAATAAGCAGAGATTAGTCCTGTATACCTCCAATGTACCTCAAGAAAAGTTATGCAAAATGAGGGAAGTGAGGCAACAAATTTGTTCAATCTACTTGTGGGTATAACTCTGGGAGAAGCAGCATAATCCATGTTCCTTTGAATTCTAGGAGGTATCATCTGCCACACAGTTAACCAACTATCAAAAAAGTTGGTTACTTCACACCTTGGTAAATATCCTCAAGCAACCTTTCTTCTATGCCTCTGGGCTGAGAGGCCAGAGTTAAGAGGAAGAAGAGATAGGGGAGAACAGAGGTGACGTGCAGTATTATATCAGGATAACAACTTGATCTTTTAACTTTTGAAGTATGTTTTCCCAGGAGACATTTTCTCCAGAAACAATTTGGATCAATACAATTTTTGTGAGATAGTGTAACGCTGGGACAAAGCTTAGCAGAAAGCTGTACTAACTAGCAGTGATGGCAATCTTTTCCCTTTAATTAAACAGTCAAAATTTCTACCAGCTTTGGTTTGAAACAGGGATATTCATAAAGTAAAAAACTGCTATAGTATATTACCTACCAAAAAGGGTTATAGTGAAAAAGTTAATTGTAGGAACAGAACACTTTGAAGTGAGCCAGCAGCACTCTAGAGAAAAAGTTCTCATGGCAGAGGAACCCAGCATAAGTTGCCCAAGAGACCCCTTCTTTCTCTCTCCCAGATTTATTACTCAGAGTTGGTAATATACAACCATGAGATTTTAAGTGTACGATTTTAACTGTTATATTCCTTAACTAGGCGTTCTTGGGTTATTTATGTATTAATTATGTCTCTCTGTGCTAACAGTTACTTTAAGGAATGCAACGTGTTCCAAGAGCAGGTTCTTGTCAAATCTGGAGATGATCTGTTGAAGTCAGTAGAGATAGACAGGCTTATTTATGATAATGGAAGGATTGGTTGTAAATACGTAAGCAAGATATTCAACAATTAGTTGAAGCATAATTTAGTAATTGCCTTCTGCCACACAAATCTGTCTTGTTTTCAACTAGTCTTTTTGATGATTAGTACATCCCATCTTGTTGATTGTACGCTTTCTTCTTACTGATTTTTGCTATGACCATGACTTGGTCTGTATTCTCATGATATTTCTTACTGCATACCATGAGAAGAATGACATGAACTTAAACAAAGCGAGGAATTCTGTTTTAGAGCACCTTCTGCCTGTGCAGGATTGTAGTAATTAATTTTGGTGATTGTACAGGAACGTCAGATAACATGTGCCTGTGATCTCCTCCATTTCAAGCAACTACAGGTTGTTGAGGAAGCATTTGAAGATATATGGAACAGGTCTCTGATATTTTGTGGTATTCTGAAGGAAATGAAGAAAATAAATATTCCTACACTTTAGCCCAACATGTACCTAGCTAAATGTACCTTAACTACTGTTTTAAAAGTTTTATCCCATAATGCCTTTCGCCAATGTTTTCTCAGTGCATCTGGGACATTAAACCTTTTTTATCTACAGTGAGGAAACTGATTTTCACAGGGATTTATATTCTTCAGGAGAATATATTCTCTGTCCATTGATCACATGTTAAAATCAAACATATCTAACAAAATTCATGGACTTCTGGTATCTTTTTTTTATTTAATTTAATCACTTATGGTCTCAAAGGGAATGACTGATTTGTTCCTTATTTTTACTCCTTCTCCCATTGTACATAGATAAGCAAGCAAGAACAGAGAGTAGAAGTATTAAGAGATATGCCTCTATAGAAAGTTGATTTCCAGTCTGCTCAGTGATTTGAGCTGGCATAATTTCCTTCTATAAGCTTCATCATGGTAATGGAGAATGGAGAAATTACAAGGAATTTCACACCTCTGCAAATCACCTGCACATGCCAAGGGCACAAGTCTGGAAAAAATAGTGGTGGGGAGAAAGGTGATTTGGAAATGACTTATATTCAATGGTTCAGGGGTAGGCTCTCTTTTCAGTCATTGCTTTCATTTATTCATTTAAATTAGGGTCACGTGTGCCTGTGTTTTGTTTCCCTCAATTTTTTTTTTATAGCTGACCAGCAAGTTAAACTGCATGGCTACAAATGCCATATGATTTTGTCTTTAGAGCATTCCCAGTTCTGCTTCTGGCCCTATTGATGAGACAAGCCCTTGCACATATCCCAGTGTTCCTACCATGACTTCATGCCTTTTAATGAACCATATGGTAGCAAACCATCGCTCTTTCTTCCTGTGATGTTCCTCAGGTCACAAGACAGTAGCATCACATGCAACTACTTACCTTTGCACTTGTTCAAATGTGCAAGAGTAGACAGCTTTTAGGAAAGATGGATGAGTTCTTTCACAGGTTTTATATAATGTGCTGTGGGAGTTACACAAACTGGCACCAAACATCTGGCTATCACTCAAGCACTTTGATAAAAGCATTAATAAAAAAAAAATCAACCAAACAAAACCCAAGCAAAAAACCCTCAACAAGCAAACCAAAACCCCCAAACCCTCAGCCTTCATTAACTCTTGCCCTTAATTCTAAAATCCTTAAAATATTTGGGAAAATAAAATCAGGTTGTAACCTACTGGTGAATTATTTTTCTCCTCTCACTTTGACAGTTACATGTGAGGAGTGATAATTCTTATCTGACTTACCGAGCAGGTTTTTTTTTCTTTTGATTTTTCACTATGCTGAAGGATAGCACTTGAAATCCTTTATTTGGAGACCAAATCTATTTGGTTTTATTTTTGGGCACTCAGGAGAGTTGTTTGCATGTGGAACACAACTAAATTATTTAGGCAAAAGTTGCACTCTGATTCTGTACACTATGATATGATGGTAGTGCTAATAGAAGGTCTACATTGGTTGCCCCAGTGATAACTGAGGGGGCAAAAAAGTAATTCCTCCATATTTGTTGACAAAATAATTGTACATTAATGTCCAGCATTTATAGGCAAGAGAAGGGAAGAGGGGACAGGCAAGAAATCCTTGAGGAGGAGGAGCTAGTTGGGTAAGTGAACTGAGATTGAGAATGAGATTGCTGTAGTCAAAATCCAATTGATCACCTCTGAGTTTTGAACAAAACCATATGTGGTGGAATAAGCAAACCTGTCACAACAAAAAGGTATGATTTTCCTGGAGCCAAAGTGAAACAGGAGGCTGTAATCTCAGGACTGTTAAATATTTTTTATGGTCTTCTTTCAATGTATTTAAAATTAGTATGAGCTTTACATGATGATGCTTCTGGACTCTCCGCCTATAGCACATTCCAAGATAGTATTTGTCAGTATTAGCTCATTTCCTTGGTGATGTTACAGAGAAATTTAGCACTGAAAGTCAGATATGGGCACTCCCTGACCTTATCTTTGACGCAGGAGATCTAGTGCTCTCCCTTTGCTTCATTGCTTACCACAATTTCTGTAGGAGCAACCCACAGCAGAGAAATCTGAGACCGCAGCTCCTTACAGAATAAGCAGAATATTGGCTGAATAAACTTAGATGGATTTCAGAAATGCCAAACCTATTGTCCTTCTGTCTCCTCTTTGATAGAGCCACATCAGGCTTTGTGCCAGCTCTATTGTATAAATGCTGCTGAATAGAGGGTCATATTTGCCTCAGGCTTCCAGGAATAGTGCCACACACCCCTTTACCCTGCCTCTCTCACCAGTGACACCTTAATTTTGGTAAAAGGCACCAGGAAAGGTGTCTTCCACTATGGAAGTAGAAGGGGAGCACAGAGGTGATGTGAAGCCCTGAGGGCAGAGCCATATCTGACTGACCCTGCCCAGGCCCCTGGAGCCTCTTCCCATCCTGCCCATAGCAGAAACCCATTTCAGTCCAGCCTGGACCTGTCAGTCCCTGCACATTTCTCTATCTCATCCTTTTGTATTCTTTTTTTTTTTTTTTTTTTACTTTCCCTACTCCAAAACTGGTCCCTTTTGCTTCTGATAGCTTTTCAGGCCCACGTTGTCCAGAGACAATCCTTTGGATTTGCTCTGAGGATTTTACCCTAGTTATCTGCTCTCTTTGGCACTAAGCCTGGGAGTGTCTGTGTGATATTGACGATGTGTCAAAATGAAAATGAAAGGTAATGATGAACAGGGCACAGTTGACAGCATAAATGCTTTGTCTAGGTTGAGTAACACACTGCTCAGTGACAGAACACCTGAAAGAATTGTCCAAAAGCAAGGAGTTTTCATGAGTCTGAGTCTTCCTATTTACTGGCTGACGCATTCAGAGAATCATTCATACTTTTTTGTTTTATCTGTACCAAACCTTTAATCTGTTTGCAAGTGGAAAGAGCTTTAAGTGACTCTGAAACCTGCTATAAGGGGTTTTTTGTTTGTATCAGCTCTTAGTCTTATCAACAGCTCATTCAGAAGTTTTTATCAGAACTGAATTTTACCAAAAAGTCATTTTAAAAATGGTGCCAGAACCCACAGCAAAAAAAAGCCCACAAAACTTTATATTTTACTCTTTTTCATGCACTCATGGGATCTGAAGATTCAGGTCAAAGGGATGGAAACAAAGACTTCAAGGGCTCCAGAAATACAGGCACTCAGGAAAGATGTGCAGGTTCTCATGCAGAAAGCCAGTACTGCTCTGGGAAGAAGTAAAGACTAAGCGTTACAAATGCTATCAACCGCTGTAGCAACAACAAAGTAGATGGGTTAGAGCAGAAACAAGTAAATAGAGTTTCTTGGTTTTTTTAAATGTCAGGTCTTGAAGGGAAGGCCAAAGGATTAGACCTTGTGGATGGCCTGTTTTAGGCAAAAACCTTTATTTTGTACCAATCACACTGGGAGATGGGGTTAAATTTCAGGCTGTGTCACCTTTGTTGGGGCGTTGATTTTATTCCTTATTGTGGAGGTAACAAAGCCTAATAAGCCTCCTAAGGCTCCTTGTCTTCTTTGGACTGACCCAATGTTTCCATGCCTCTGGTGCGTGCCCCTGATATTTTACATCACAACTTCCAAATCTCCTTACTACTACTCCAAGCTCTGATATGACTTTCTAGCCTCAATATTTGACCCTATGATTATTTAATTCTAGAACTCTAACCTTTATGCTTGAAAGCTGTCCTAACAAGAGATCTTGCCTACCAGCTTTCTTACTCTTGCCCACTTCACTGTCTGAACCGGAAGAATTACCAAGGCACTATTTCACTGAGCTGCTGTTCTCTTCTTCCCCTTCTCTTTTTCTTGTAAATATGAATCTAGATGACTCAAGAGGTCTTTTATATCTTTGCAATTGTTGTTTCCAGTGTATTTTGTGTGCTCACTTTGCAATATTTACTCTGTGCTTTCAACATGTAGTTTGGGTGATTCTGCAGTTAAGATACTGGAATGTGAAAGAGCTTTATGTTCACTAGTTTTTGTTAGTGTAAGCAGGAAGATGATTAACAGTGAACCAGTAATCTACATGTCTATATTTTTGTACAGAGAGAGAATTCATGATGTGTTAATGTGGGACAGTCAAACTGGCATGAATTTAAGATGGATTAGAATATAGTGCGGGTTATTTATAGAGCATGCACATGCAAATTTTATCTAGGCTGTTCAGAGATTGTTTTTTGTGCAAGCCTTTATAAATATCTTAGAGATAAAAGGGAAAAATATGACATTTTGTCTTCTGCCAAAGTTCTGAAAGGATATAATGATAAACATCCCAGAATTATCTAAAGGAGTTCTTGAGAGATTTGTCAGCTATAGGTATAAAAATCCTATGACCCATAAGACTGTTCAGTTCTGAATAGCAGTCTGTTTCCAGCAAAGTCTAGGAACATGTGCTAATGTCAACTTGCTAGCTTTGCATGAAAACTCATAATGAAAATTTAAGTAATTAGTTGCTACCTGGAGCCTAAGACTGAATCTTTCCTCTTGCCATGGGTCATGTGTTAGTCCTTTCTATGTATAGCAAAACCATCCTTGGAGGGTGGACAGAGGAAGAGATTTTCATACAAGACTGATGTCTTTTTTAAAATAATATTAGTAGATAGAATATCTTGAAGGATTTTTCAATACTGATGATGGTAGAAGAAGTAAGAGCACTTTGGCCACAACAACCCCATGCAGCGCTACAGGCTGGGGACAGAGTGGCTGGAGAGCAGACAGGCAGAAAGGGACCTGAGAGTACTGATTGACAGGAAGCTGAACATGAGCCAGCAGTGTGCCCAGGTGGCCAAGAAGGCCAATGGCATCCTGGCCTGTATCAGGAACAATGTGGCCAACAGGTCCAGGGAAGTGATTCTTCCCCTGTACTCAGCACTGGTGAGGCCACACCTCGAATACTGTGTCCAGTTCTGGGCCCCTCAGTTCAGGAAGGATATTGAGGTGCTGGAACAGGTCCAGAGAAGAGCAACAAGGCTGGTGAAGGGACTCGAACACAGGTCCCATGAGGAGAGGCTGAGGGAACTGGGGTTGTTTAGCCTGGAGAAGAGGAGGCTCAGGGGAGACCTCATCACTCTCTACCACTGCCTGAAAGGAGGTTGTAGCCCAGTGGGGGTTGGTCTCTTCTCCCAGGCAACTATCAGTAAGACAAGAGGGAATGGTCTTAAGCCATGCCAGGGGAGGTTTAGGTTAGATATTAGGAAGAAATTCTTTACAGAGAGAGTAATCAGGCATTGGAATGGGCTGCCCAGGGAGGTGGTGGATTCACTGTCCCTGGAGGTTTTTAAGATGAGACTGGATGTGGCACTTAGTGCCATGGTCTAGTAATTATAGCGGTGTTGGATCAAGGGTTGGACTTGATTATCTCAGAGGTCCCTTCCAACCTGGCTGATTCTGTGGCAATGGATGTATGGAAAAAGTCCTGCCAAAAATGGACTGATGAATCAGAAGTTTTTAATGTTGTTTGAACATGTGTTAAGATGGCTCTTTGCAGAGTCACTGCTTTTCCCCTATACCTCCCCTGTAACCCCCTATCTCAGGTAGGAGTGTCCTGGGAAGATGTCCCAAGGTGCTCCCATTGGTCCTTTGTTAACCCTTTCCTTATTTGGCTGTGAACTCCTTACCTGGTTGTAACACCCCCTCATCTGTGATTGATCCCCAAGGGCTATATAAGCCCCCTCCCACAATAAACTTCCTCTTTCGTCCTCTCTCCCCTGGTGGTCCGGTGAGTGCTCCATTGTGGGGTCTCAGGGCCACGTGGTGGGGGGCAGGGTGGAAGGGCATACTCCTTCCAGGTAATGGACTGAAACGAGGCCTGAAGGATCTCCCCCATCCCAACACATCTACCGTATGATTCTATGTATGCAAATATGTTTCTATGTGATATATAAAAATATGCAGAGAACTAAGCTGTCCAATTACAATATTTTGATACCTATGGGGCTTCCTAGATATGTAAGTAATAATGTGTAATTTCTTCAATAGTTTCATTCAGTGAACAAGAGGTTTCCGCTTGGGAGAGGAAGCTGTGGTTTCAATGCAGTAGAGAGTAATTGTTTGAATCCTGTTAGGTTCTCACAGAGAGTCAATTCTCTCCTTTTCATCACTGGACATTCAAACCTGGAGTCACTTTGCTGTAATTCAGTGAGCTTCAATTTTCTCTCTGCCTTGTTAGAGCAACATTTGACCTCTGGGAATGTGTAATAATCTTCATTATACATAACAACTATTTACTTACACCTACTTTACATCTATCTTTGAAAAGATACTTGTGAAACTGTTCTCTTTTGTTCTAGTCTAAGCTGAAGAATTAATTAGAAACAGTGCTACAGATGAGCCAGACTCCAGAAGATAAAACAGGTGAGTGATAGGACAGTTTTGAGTTGAGTAGAAAGGAAATATGGCATAAATTATGGCAATAAGATTTTCTGAAGTGTTGCAAGAAAAACCAACCAAAAATTACCTTAGCTGTTGGAATTTTTTCTGTTAGTGTGACCAAAATATGCTGACATCTAATGAAATAAGGTACATAACATCTTTCCTATACTTCTTTCCCTCCAGACTCTATCTGAAACTGGTAGGTGTCAGAGGGAGACTCTCTAAAATGTTAGAGATGTCTCAGGGGATAGTACATGAAACCCTTCATCTGGCAGAAATATAATAACTGGATTTCATCCTTATGATGAGGAGGTTAAGCCCTGAATCACGTGCTTTCACATGCCCTTCCTAAGCTTCTTTTCAGTGTTCACTGTATCAGTCCTGAGTGCTCTAGTTATCCATACAATAGTCAAGTCCCTATTGAATCCTTGCTCAGTGCTTTTGTTCAGTAACAGCACTGAGGTTTACAGTCTATTCATGTACTGCTCAAGAAAGTAGTGTCTTTTGATAAGGCCTTTGATCAGTGGAATCTGAATCAGGATCTTTGAGTAAGTTAAAATACATAAATCTGAAAAGTTGTGGAAGAGTAAAAAAAAATTGATGAACTAAGAAATCCTGTGAAATGTCATCAGCATAAAGTATAACTGGTCTGACTGTAGTACACCTGCATTTTATGACTTCATTGAAAACCTGTTCTGAAAGCACAGTTTTCTTCCAGACCATGAGAACATATTGATTAGCAAATTATAATGTGGTAAATAAGGAAATAGCTGTTCAAGTGGTGATGTAAAATGCCTTCTACATTTCCTCTTTAAGAAAAGAGGAAGATCCAAATCTTTCTGTGAAATGTCTGAGTGTTCTAGTGTCCTGCTCCAGGCTATGGGCAGTTGTTAGCTCCATCATGGGCAGCTCCTACCACTGGCACCTAACTCACTTTTGCAAACATACCTTCTGTAGGAGCAATGCTTAAACAGTCAAACCAGCTGTGGTTGTGGGCTTTTTTTATTTTCCCCCAGCAATTAAACTGGCCCAAATTCCTCTCTAGTGTAGCTGTCTTCCTGTCAATGAACATATGCCTGAATGCAGCTGCTCCGATTATTTTGTTTCTACAGCATGGTACAGATTTTGAATTTCATTGCTTTGCAGTCTATCGCTAAAAAAACCACAAAATCAGTCATGTGCTCTGGATCTCCCACAGGACTAGTGAACAAAACAAACAGAACTCTCCAGGCCAAGGCATATCTAAGAAATGGTTTTGCATAAAATGAGCTAAAAAATATTTAAACAACGGGTAAAGATTTCTCCCCTTCTCCTCCTTATCAGATACTAAGAAGTACTAACTCAGCTTCAAACTTTCCCTCCCTCCCTTCCTCAGTTACTCATTGAGGAATCAAAACCAACCAAGTCAGAAAAACGTAAATGTTACCGTTCTTTTTTTTTGTGTTACAGCTGTATTTAGAAGCCTAAGCCAAGAAATTTGGGCTAAATATGCTAACATGTGCTGCCACTATAGGGAACAAAGCTCTACAAATATTGTTTGCTTTTTTTTGTTTGTTTTTGTTTGTTTGTTTCTGGTTTTTCTTTTTTTGGTTGGTTGATGATTGGGGTTTTTTTCTGATGTGGGATGCTAAGCAACTAAAAAAGTGTTCAATCCAAGTTAACCTGAAATGAGAATGTTAAATTTTCCCAGAGGAAAAATGGAGATCTGATTATATTTTTAAAAATTGAACAAAAAGTTTTCTTAATATTTTCTAAAACAGAAGGCATTATTTTCTTCTCTCCAGATAACATTTCTGTAAGGCCCTTCCAGGGCCAGCAGCTTATCCTAATCCACTGAGTGAGGATATGCTCTCTATTGTTTATAGTGGTTCACACAAAAATACAGGATTTTTGAGAAGCCAGTAGCCATTAGCTTCTGGGACAGGGAGGGGCAGGAAGCATGGCCAGGTCCTTTCCCCACATGAGGCAGTGCATCACTCAAATTTGGCTCATGCTCTCTTCCTCCAGCCTGGCTCACTTTTCATCAAAGCTGTTGGCTCCCAGTGACCTTTTGACTGTGCGTTGACACTGCATCACAGACCAGAGGGAGGAAGAGCTGGGCTGGCTGCCCATGACAAGCTGCTTGGAGAGTAGGAAATTTAGGGGATTACAACAGGTAGTCTTTAATTGCTGAAACGTCATCATTATTCAACACAGTACCTAGTCCTGAGTTTGACAACATGGCACAAAGCTATTACATTACAAATGTGGCTAATGAACTACTGCAAGCTCTGTAAACCCCTCTCAGCTCCAGGGCAGCCCCTGAGTCAAGAGGATTTTTTTGACCCGCTCATGACAGCAGTCAGACAAGCCAGGGAGCACCATTAGGGGCTCTCACAAAGCAAAGAAGGGCCAGTTCTTCCTTTCTGTGTTCTCACTCCCTTCACTGGTGTGTTCCCTCTCTCTATCCTTCCCCTCTGCAGTCACAGAGCCTTGGAGGTGTAACCCTGCACTTTGTCGTCTTTCCTGGGTATTCCGTTCTCCATAGCTTCCCTTACACACTAACACCAAGAGGTGAACCAGGATGTGGGAGACAGATAAAATGGGATGAAAGGGAAGAAAGTAGTTTATTTGTATGATTACAGACCACTGGAGTGAAGGGCACTATTAGTCTGTGCATGTAGTTCCCCTAATTCCCTAGATCAGGACCTGGAAAGGGCCTGTAATACAGCTCTGGCTGCAGCAGCATGAACACCAACAGGCTGCAGACAAGCTTGCTGGCAAGCTGTGAAAAGCTGAAAAGGTCTTTGACTCAAATGAGACCCTGACTGGACAGGAGCATGACCTGGATGTGTAGGATCTTGTAACATCACATTATTGACTTATTGTAGTGAGTGGGTGAATTGACAGTGAAGTTGGCCTGTAAAGTTTGGAAGTGCATTTTCTGGACTCTCCTAAGGGAGTACGGCATGTTTATTCTGCTCCTTGCATGTTCTCTGTTCTCTGTGCTGGGATGCAGTTATTTCCTCCTTGGCTGTGTTCCCATTGTTTCTAGAGCCTATTTTTGCAAGAAGCGCTAAAGGATCTTGGTTGGGGTGACTGTGAAAGGTGAGTGGCATAGCCCACGTACCAGTGTTCCTTTCCTGGTGGAAATGAAGTGTGGGTACAGTGAGTGTGCATACCAGCTGAACTGGGGGCAATATCATGGGTGCTCCCGGTCTGTACTGCTCGTCTTGACTAAGGCAAATTTGTACTTGAGTACACCTGCTAAAAGCACTAGATGACAGCCTTAGACGACAATTAGCTTTGCACTGCTAGCTCTGTCCTTTAAATTTTGCAAGCACTTTTTTACTTCTGGAAACCTGAAGCAGATATGAGACAAAGTAAATAGTAAAAAACCTGCTCTCTGTTTCAAAACAGCTTGAATCTGTAGGGTGTAAGGTTCTTGATAAATGGGAAGAAATTAACATACTGAGACTGGGAAGAAAGAAAGAGTGGTTTATGCTGTGACAGTGTATATAGCGGAAACCACTCTAAACTAATACAGGCAAAAATCATTAATTCTAAAGATGTCCTAATAAGGATTCATAAGAAGTACTGGTGCCCAGGTACTACCATAAGGGATGTTTTAGCATTGAGAAATTGGTCCTCAGTGGTCTTTATTTTATCCTCTGAGAACACAATATGTGCCTATTGGGTGCTTCTATGTTTGTTGTAGTGTTCAGACTCCGACCCTGCAGTAGGAAGCTTGTAGGCTGACCCTCACAATGTGAGATGATGATCTACAGACATAGGTGTTATTTCTGTATTCATACTACAAGTTTGGGGATTTGTAAGCAAATGTACATTTAACAGCAGCATCATTAATTTTAACATGTTTGTTTCTTGGCCTGGAGAAACAGAAATATTCTGGGTGGGATTTTCAAGTGTTCCAAGTTGGCATCATCTACCCTTGAAATGAATGCTGAAATGCTGAGTAGATTCAAAGGGGGAGAGATAGAACAGTCCTGATTCCCTTTGAAATCTCCTTTCTAGATGTTGAAATAACCGAACATTACTGCAGATTATTCACTGGCACATATAATGACCATAGCTGTGACCACGTGCCAGTCACAGACAAGAAGGTCAAGTTTAAGTCCAGATTGAATAAAAAGTCTATGATGGATTCTTGATATCAACTAACTGTTTTTTAATAAAAGGACAAATGTTAACATGAACACTTCTTTACAGAATTTTTTTTTTTTGTAATTCACTAGGCTCCATCATTATTGTTTGTGCTCTCATAGTCATTGGTGTTGTATGAAGCAAACAGTGAGAGACAGGCTTTTATTGCATACTATGCAATCCAAGGTACAGAACTTGCAGAGATTTTGTTATGCACTAAAATTTGCATACTGCAAGTGGCCTGTGTGAGGACCACTTGAACTATAAAAGCTAGATGCTTGCAAATTTTTGCAGGATTAGTGCATTCAGCATTTACAAACAGTACTCCTTTTCCACTGGCTGTTGTGCAGTTAGAAATAGCACAAGATTTCAATAAAGGCACTTTAACATGTCCTTGTCACTGGTTACACTCATAAGTGTTCCAGCTGCGTGAAGCGAGGAGGTAATTCCATGCAGTTAAAAGTACAGTCAGCATGAGTAGGGCATAGTGTGTCACTCTTAATGGTGGGCAAACAGCAGTTTTTCATGTCTTATGTTTGACTAAGCATCTAAAAGGTCAAACATTTCTCCAAACTTTCTGTCCTCTGAAGCAGTTATATCTATTGACAGAACATAAAATTAGTTAATTAATTATACTGAGAATAAAACAGAGCTGCCAAAAAGTCACGGAAAGCTGAAAAAAACCTGTGAAAACCAGGTACAGCCATTGTGTTCTTGCACTATGCTTGTCTGTCTTTAATGACATATTTAAAATAATTATTTTTCTTGCTGAATTTTTCAACAAACTTTGTGCACTGCTACATACGAGTACAAGACAGAAGTCTGTCACTTGTTTCTAAAGCAATTAGCAGACCTCCAGCATCAGAGAGCTTTGGGGAAGAAGGAGAACTCTTGGTTTATTTAGACAGATTTACTTGGTATCAAGATATTAAAACAATGAACAGCAGCAATTAGTAACGAAAATTCCCTTTTTTTTTTTTCTCCTTGCAAACAGGAGATCTTAGACTCCATGTGCCTTATGAAGTGTTCCTATGTACACTCTCTAAGATATTCAGCCCTGTGGCATGATAACAAATGAGTATATGAAATCTGGTCCTCTGAAAAAATAGCCACTCTGAGAATTTCCTCTCTTTGCTTTTTTACAACAAATATGAGTATTCAGAAGGTCTTTAAATATAAATTATTGGTTTCTAGAGTAGTTTTGGGGTCAGGGGGTGGGGGGGGCGGGGCTGGGCTTTTTCTGTACTGTAATGAAAAAGGATAGCCAGCAGATGGCAATGTTGTATAGTTGTTCCAACAGGAGATAGCCACATCATCAAGGGAGGGAAACCTCTGATATCCCTAAGTAGCCATGAGGGAAAATGGAGTGGCCCCTGCAAGCCATCGGAGGGTTGACCATCCAAGCATACTTTGGCTGAATGCTAATGTAGGCTTACTGAGTTTGCAATACCCTTTGTAACAGCAATTCTACATTGAAAACCCCTCATTCGAAAGGCCAAGACCATTATAATTTAATAACAATCTAATTAAACTAGTGCATTTCCATATTCTTTTAAAAACATGATTTCATAATGCTGCATAAGTACAATGTGTTATTTCCCATACAGGTTGCATATTTAAAAAGATAAGTGGGTCTGATGCATTTTCTTTTGCTGGAATGCTGTGTGACAATTTAACTGATCTGTTACTGCCTTTTCAGGCTCAAACTATGAAAATCAACTCATGAAACACATTTCTCCGAGGCCAAATAAAAGTTATTTCCTTATAACCCAGTATGGTTCAGGTGTAACACAAACTAGTTTATACATGAGTTACCTTCACTAGGTCTAGTCCCAAAGGACTGGAAAGGTTTTCTGGCTCCAGCAAGTTCCAGGTTAGGCCTGCTGTGCTTTGCCAGCTAGAAAGTATAAAGGTCCAGAATACAATTCCACCTCTCTCTCTCTCTCTTTTATTTTTAATTACTGTGGAGAGCTATTATGGTATTTTGATCTAAATATGTAAATCAAAATTGCAAAATCTTTCTGCTTCTGCTTCCAGCCGTACTGAAGGCATGGGAATGCGGTAAACAAACCTGTGGTAGATAACCCCAGCGTATAAAATCCATGGAATAGCTCAGCAAGAGGAACTTGGAAAGACTTCTTTAAAATATAGGAACAAACAGATGTCTTGAGAGAAGTGAGTAATAGTTTGAATAAAACAATTTTAGGTTCAGCTGATATTCCGCTCCACACTCTGAAGTCTGAAGCTCTGTTTTAGTAACCAAAAAAGCAGGCATCATTTCAGATGTTAGTGAAATGTGAAGTACAAAGCTCTTTGCATTTAGAATTTTGTCTAGCAGTTCAGTCTAAAATCTAGAAATCGAGATGGATGCTGAAAGACAAAATCAAGTTATTTGTATCACAGTAAATGCTTTAGCAAAAATGATGCTATGAACACCCTTCCTTGTTTACACAGTAAGACCTGGTTTTACTCTCTGTTTGGATTCCCTCAAGGTAAAAGGAATTGGCAAGAAGAAAGGCTCTAAGTCAGACTCAAAGACGTATGTAACTTGAGATGTACTGCTAAATTAAAACTCCTGTCACACAGAGACTACTTACTATAATTTATGTCAAGGTTAATGGAGTAAAAAGTATTGGAGTATTTTAAATGCTAAGCAGACATGTTGCCAATTAGTATCACTGCAGATTTTTTCTTATATACTGAAGGATATTTCAACGTTTCTCAACATTTATGTCTTTTTTACAGGAATTTGAAGGAAATATCACAGAAATTTTAGATAAACTGAAAATCACTCAAGAAAATCAAAGGGGAGTATGAAATGTTCAAATATCTATGTCAGTGTGGTTGCACAGAAAGTGTTAGAGTGATGGAAATACCAGTCATAACAACTTGCTGGGCCAATGTAAGACAAAGTAGTTACTAATATCAGCTGCATTCAAGTGCTAGTTGCAGAACACACACAGTAGCAGCTGGGAGTCATAATCAGATATTATAGATTTGACTTCAATGTGGCTCAGATTATTAAGGATAAAAATTATGCATAGCGTTTGATTAAAAACTCTAATTGCTTCAGTTTTTGTATTTATAGAATCATGGAATATTCTGAGTTGGAAGGAAGCCACATGAATCATCAAAGTCCAACTCTTAACTCTGCACAGAACAACCCCAGGTATCACACCAAGTGCCTGAGAGTGTTGTCCAAATGCTTCTTTTACTCTATCAGGCTTGGTGTTGTGACCATACAGGTACAGAACAGACATATTATGGTACTTTTCAAAGACTTCCAAGTTTTCTGACAGTGACCTGCTCATGGTCTTTTACACCAGACTTAGAGAAGTTCAAGCCCTTGTCTGTTCTGACATTGCTCACTAGTGCCAGTTTTGGTAATTTCTTTGTGCAATGGATTTTTTAATGTTAGGAACTGGCTTGAGATTCTTAAACTTCTTTGACATAAACTGTTTTTTATTTTAAAGGGGTGGACTACGGGGTCATCTCAAGCACTTGAGGTAACGTATTCTAAGAAGTTAAAGCATACAGGTTTGGTTATTGATGCTGCCGGTCAGCAGTAAATACTGAATATATTTGTTTCTGTTGTGCTTTCAGTATTTTGGTTTAGCACAAGACTGTTTATTCCTGCCATGTTTTTTATGTTCCAAAGCTCTGGATGTTCCAAAGCTTTGGATAAGGATCCATCCAATCTAAAATACGGTGGAAGAGAGCATACTGCTACTTATTCATCCACTGTCAAGATCATGAAATGCACATACTCAGATAGGTGTATATTTCAGCATGTTTGGCATAGCTTCAGATTGGTTGTGAGTTTGTAGTGCTGCTTAGAGGTTTTTTTCCTTACGAGCAAATGTCAGCCAGAATTAAGGCTCTGTACGAGTTGAAAAATATATCTACAGAATATGTGAGAAGTCTAGTTCATTGTCAGAACAGAAGGTACCTTTTCACTCATGTGCCCTGCTATTGCCTATGAGCATTTTTGTATCTACAGTTTATCAGTATAAGAAATCACTGCATCCAGGAGAATCAGGTAGTGGCAAGCTTGTGGCATTAAAGACCCACCTTGATAAGACCTAAAATCCAGTCAAGCTATCATGCAAAGTATCATGCAAAATCAACTGCTGGAGCCAAGATGTTGTCTTGGTGTTAATTATGCTAAAACCATCCTGGTTAACCAGACTTCGAATACATACTCTGCTTTTTGTAAGCCTGATTTGACAGATAAGCTGATAGCTGGCCTGTAAATGTGTGCCTAGCAGTCAATCACTTAATACTCTAAAAGTCCAGTCCCCTTTCATGCAGTCAGGTTCTTCTGATATAATCCTTCTAGGAGTGTATGTGTGGAGATTCCTCCCTTGGGCTGGGGATGTCCCCAAAGGTTACTCCTTGAAGTTGAGAGAAAGAGATCTCCCCACTAGCGTTAATATGGGTGAGTAACATCAGATATGTACTTAATAATTATTTCTTTTTCTAGCTTTAATATAACTGCTTCAATAATTGCTTTGTGACAGTGCACTATACTATTTTATGCTATATTATACCCTACTAGTAGATTTTTAGCATTTATATTGTTGTCATAAATAGTTCTGATTAAGATCTTTTATCTGACCATTTGTAATAATAAACTATTCATCTTATATAAATATCCCCATTTTGCCAATCATTAAAATCTACAGGACAAAAGTGGTTCAATCACACCTTTGTAATTCCTTAAATTTAAACTGTTGACGTAATTCAAGGCTAGGATTGGATTCAGCTGCACCTAGACTCCTCTCTGAGAAGAGGTTTAGAAAGCAATCCTTTCTGCACCTCGAGACTCAATGGCAGGGCTTTTTAAGTCAATTTTGTCTAAGCCTTCCACTCCCACCCGCAACAAAGCTGCAGTAAGTTTAATTCCTTAGTTTGCTGCATGCCTAATTTGTTAGTTTATGTCTGCATGTGTAATGCAAATGCAATCTATCAGTTGGAGGCCAACATCACAGGTTAGTAAAAGGCCTGAAGACTCACAGAAAGGCTTACTGACCTTAGTGCATTTTAGGGCAGTGTTTTAAGTTTTCAAACATTAGGTGGATATTGTGGAGTTGTCTCCCATTGTTATAACACAACACTAAGAGAAAGGCGTCTCAAATTTAGATGGCAGGTGGTGTTTTGTGCCATAGGATCCCCAAAAGTCACTGTAGATTCCTGTTGTGTCTGTGGCCTATACACTTCCATGTACAGTTATGAGATTGTTGGTAAAAATCCAAAATTATAGACTCCAAGGAACGAGATCCACTAATATAGAAAATAACAGCTCTATTTTCATCTTATTGCCAACACTTTGTGTCAAAGAGGATATGTTTTATTTGCTGACACAGGCAGAAATTTTTACTTTGAAATTGTACTAGAAAAGTAAGGAAAGAATTTTTTTTCAAAGAAAGCTTGAGTCTTACAAAAAAGAACCCTGAACTCAGATCTTATGAAACATAAATATTTTCAATTAAATTAATTTTTTAGTTTAAAATAGAAGATTAATAATTCTAGTAGTCTATGAAATATTAAAATTAAGGTTAAGCTTTAGTTAATTTACTGTTTCTGGCTCTTTGATTGAGAATTGCCAACTTTAGAGTTCGCAAGATGGTATGTACAGTTATGGTAGGCTTTTGTTGTTGAAGTGTAAACAGTGTAAACAGTGTAAACAGCTCTCAATTCAGGAGCTGCTACCTAATGATCTAAGACCACTAATACATGATAATTTCATGAAAATGGAAAGTAACCCACTTTATGATATGAAGTTACTGTATATTATGTTGTTACAATTCCTGGATGGATGCATTCATTAAGCTCAACGAGGGGGATGGAAGAAATTGAAAGAGAACAACAGTAAAGCAAAGCATGGAATCTAAATAAGTAGTTTCCTCACAAACAGTATGGAGAGCACTTCCTATACAATGGCACACATCTAGCCTCCTTAAATTTGCAAAATTTGCTTTTCCAGAACTGGGTGCTAGTAGATCTAGAAATGTATAGATAATTAAAAAATTATGTGCAAAATTAATAAAAGGTTTTGATTAGTGATAGTTGCATTCCCTTCAAGAGCTGAACATAAGTCAGGGTAGCTGAGGTGCTAAGGATACCATAAAGAACCTCTATGAATAGAAGAGTCCTTTGTTCTTTCCCTTCAAAACATATGGATGAATCGTGGTCTAAGAACATGCACAACAGGAAAGGGTAATAAGACATGATCATACTTGCATCTGCTTATACATCACAGAACTCTATGTTTTGTATTTCTTTGATTTTGAATTGAAAGTTGTGTGACCTTCAGGTCAGGTATGGGACTTACTGGATAAAATTCAATGTCATTTGACAGACTAAACTGGAAAAAAGCTAAGCACAGTTCTGTCTGAGAGGATAATAGTATATTTATAGATAGTATAATAGTATATTATAATAAATTTTTTTTTGAAAGTTAAAATTTGGGAACATTATACTCGTGGAATAACTGGTCAGCCACAAGGCTATTAGAAATAAAACGTCAAGGTAATTAGTGGTAGATATAGTTGAACACAAGGTTAATTAGTCTCATTTGTATGATGTTAATTATTAAAAGTAATCAGCCCTGGGATACTTACAGAACGACTCTCACTAAATGTTTTAAAAAATGTAGCAGGACTTTTACATTTTGCTTCAAGCAGAGCTTATGTATAAACCTTTTAAAGTAGCACACTGTCTTGGGATATTTGCATAATAAGATGCTTTATAAAACGAAAGCCCAAA